AAATGCTTAAATGCCATATATGATTAAATGATGAAATGTTCTATAACCCAATTAAAAAAAGAAGAGCAACAGAATACAGTGAAATTTCAAACGTAGCTCACTGTGGAGTTGCTCTATTTTCAGAAGACTCTAAGGGCACCCCTTGTGGTCCTTGAGGGCCCCTTGGTGCCCGTGGGCACCATGTTGGTGACCCCTGGTCTACACTGTTCCAACAGGAAAATTGAAAAAAACGAGCAAAACATCCATCTATACTTTCCTACAGCCTTTGCCAACAAATAGACGCAGATATTTCAACATCTGCAATTTCTAGATAAAAGGTATAGTGGATAAAACTCAGTTTGGGTTCTGGGGTGTAAATCTTTTCCATTTTCATTACTTGTCTACTTGTATCAATAAACATTCTGCAAAACATTTATATTTACAAGCACTAATCTATCTGCATAAATTGATTATTTGATACACTTTTATTAAAATTGTTATTTATAACATTATATAACTGGGATGTTTACCTATCTGGTTCAGCTTATACAAAATGAGCGACAGGTCTATGTTACTTGTTAGCTTCCATCATGCTACAGTTGTTCCTTAGTGGTTTAAATTTTAAACTAAAATCTAGTTTAGGTTCATAACACGATAGAAGAAATATAGTCTAAAGTCATAGGGAAGTCATTTAAATGTCAAATCATTCTGGCTTAAACATGTATATAAATCTACTCTTTATCAGACTATATTTTCCCAAAATGTAGAAAATGTCTATTTAAAAAAAATCCTGTCTTAAAATCTGTGGGGGTTTTCCCGTTATTTGATGTAAGTTATACGTCAGCTTGTACACCTAAATTGGGCCAATCATATATCAACAGTCATCTGTCAATCAAATGTTTTCGTTCAATGCATCTTGATTCATATGTCGCAGCTAATATAAGAAATAAGAATAATTTACTTTACCATTGATTTCACTGAAGACTCCTAGATGACTTGCTGAGACACATAATTTTCTCTTTACCCCATATATCACAGAATCTAGTTCTGAAAAGAGCATGAATTCTGTACTTATAATCTTTGATGTTAGTATATTGATGTGTATAATTAACCACAAAAAATTTTATGTTTTGAATAGTCCACTTTAGAGTATTACAACTGCCACCATCTGTATTAGAGGGGAAAAAATGGTAGGGGTGGCCACAGGTGTGGCCATTGATTGGCAAAGGGTGGCCATGGCCACCCCTGGCCACCCATCTAGCTCCACCCCTGTTTAGCTCCGGATTCTCCACAAATGTTAAGGCTTTTTGATTAAAAAAAAAACTTTACATCTATAAATGGCATCAATAAATTGAGTTGATCCCCTAATAAACAAAACAGTATTGTCTGCAAACCACCTGACTTAATGTCTTAGGCTTTAGGTATAACTATATCTTGGAGTTATGAAAAAGTGTATTTTTGCGATCTGCCATAATAGAAAAGAAGAAGAAGAAAACGTGTATCAATGGTTCAATATTTTGAACTCTGTATTACTGTTCATGTAATTAATTCAGTTCTTGTGAATGTAAGTACACCTTTAACGGGGGGAAATAAAGGCACTGCACCTTTAACTCGTTCCTCGTGAGTTCGGTCACGTGCCTGCCAAAGCCTCGCGCAGCTGTCAACATTGAGGAAGCAGCGAGAAGCAACAGTGGAAGTAGAAACTGTAGCTGCTGCCATTAATTATCTGTATCTGTTGTTAACCGTTTGTAGACACCTACGGTTACGGAAGAAGTTATAGAGAAAGTTAATGGTGACTTCTGCGCGCTTTATAATACATGAAGAGTGAAAGGGAACAATGTTTAGAACAGGTAGCTGTGGCTTGCTAACTTCTTAGCTAGCTTGCTAACAGTCAGCTGTTGTTATGGTTGGGGAGATAGCTAGCTAAAAAAAATTATAATAGAGTGTTGAGTTTTAAATTTGTTTAAATTACCAAACTTCATCGGACTGTTTATTTCCGCATCGACTTTGGACACATGGGACTGGCTGGTTGGTGTTTAATGGAGACCTAAAAGGCTGCATCACTCCGACAGGCTGCTGTAACTGATCCTGCAGAAGTATCTTGGGACTCAATCAGGACTGCTTCAAGATGCACGACGCTTATGAGCCAGTTAATATTTTGGAAAAGCTTCCCCTTCAGATCGACTGTCTTGCTGCTTGGGGTGAGTGGCTTTTTTCACACCTTCCTGTCGTTCATCGGTGGTTGTTTGTCCTTCAGCCTCAACTGTCCCCCAGGACAGTTTGCTCTCTGTGGTGGGGAGGGATGTGATACAGGGTGATACAGCAGGGATACACCATCTAGATAAGGGGAGGGTTATATACCTGAACATCTGAATATATATAAACAGTCCTTTGTACCATGGTTTGTTTTTTTGTTTTTTTTTGTATGTAAAAGCTCGATTTGACAAAACTAAAATATTTGTTGTCAACCTGCTCCAGCTGTTGTTATTCTGCTAAATTATTTAGGTTAATAACTCATATTTATCTAATCTGAATACTTTACTATTTATATAGGATTGGGAGATTTAGAGTTATAATCTTAGCACGATGGTTTTGAATTGCTATCAGGATAACTATAAAAGTGTTTAAAAAATGGACATTGTCTTTTTTTAAGTCTTTCTTATGTAACTTTATGGCTATTATTGTCTGCAACAGCAATCATAGCATCAAAATTATGAATACTAATCTTGAAAAATAAACCCTTATATTAAAATAAGCTTCTTCAGGGCTACATAAAGAAGTGTTTTACCTTACTAAACATTCCAGAGTCACTGCATTTAATCATATTCTTTTAAACTTCTTCAGTTTTTAAAATGTAAGTAATTCTAATTTATAGTTTAGTCGATAAATCAACAATAAGTGTAAACGATTTGATAAATGTCATGTGAAATATCCTGCTATGTTTAGATGTTTCTGAAGATGTTGATACAATTTCCAAATATTCTTTATCCATATTCTGAGAACTCTGTTTTATGTGTTTTTATATGTCTTTCTTCATTTCCACTGTTTATTTTTTCTTCTTCCCTCTGGTATATTTTCTAGATTCTGTCAGTTTTTCGAGGGGGCGAGGGTTTGAGAGGCATTTTATCCAATCTCTCTCTAGATGGTGGACAATTAATAGATAAACTCGATTAATCAATTTGTTTTTTAACGAAGATTCAAATTTTAGAATATCTGGATTTTTTTTCTTTATTCTTTTTAATTAATCCACTCTTTGGGCTTCCATAGCTCAGAGTAAGATGAGTTGCTCAGTTTTTGCTCTTAGATGTGTGTTTATAACTGATGAACTAGCTCTCTGTGTGATACCACGTGTTGCAAACATTTAGTTTGTTGTGGTTTCATTGTTTGTTCAAAAACACCATTAGTTAACAAGCAGGTTTCACAGCTTGAATTTTCTTCATCTTTAAATTGGGTAATCTTCAAGCCATTAATCATCTTCATTATGAAACTTAAGTTAGTAAAAAAAAAGATTAATCGGTTGCCAAAAATCTAAGATTAGATTTTTTATCCCATCGCCCAGCCTTAGCTAAATCTATGTCTGTATGTATTTAATAAAAAGAAACAACTGTTTACTGTTGATAAATGTTCTCTAAATAAGCAGCTAATTATAAAAATCAAGCTAAATCTAAAGAAAAACAAAACTCCTGAAATATAAACAAGCCCTGGAATTGATAACTTTTTAGGCCTGTTCTCAGATTTCAGAAAGCAGAGATTTGGACTAAAATTATTAAATCCCTGGAGATTAAAGGAATAGTACACCCAAAACATGATTAGCCTTCATTTTCTACTCACCCCCATGCTGAACAACACTCTGGAGTACTTTTTTGATATCTAATCAGCATCTGGAGAACTGGGAAACTTCTTGCTGTCTGCTGACATTCAAATAATGGAGGTCT